TCAGATAAGGTACTAGAGTTAGGGTTCGTTCGTCGCCAAAATATGCTATAGCTGCACTGATGCGAATAGTCCCGTCGAAATAGGTTATCACCCTGACGTAAACAGTCTTATGCTCTGCCGATTGGGCTAGCTGATTTGATTTCTTCAGAATCACTGAGGCTTTTCAAACGACCTATATACATTATACATTATTTATATTCATTTACCTGCCTCGAAGCTTCGCATACATATACACCACTATAATCATCACATTAGATTTAGTATACGCGAATCTTGTGGTCATCTTCTTATATTTTACTACTCTTTTTAGTACTGACGAGTGTAAGACGTTCATCGCACAAAAAGACACTCTAATGTCATGACAGTTAGGAATTCTCTTCATTTCGTCCAAAGTTTCTTTTCGATAAGGAGCCAATACAGTGCTCATCCAATGCTTATCAGCATGTTTTCATTCATCCTTTTCTACAATTTTCAAATGTCTTTTATTATTGGCTTTCGAGTGACTATCTTCCTCAAGAGTAGATCGAACCAGTCTCATTACTCCACTGGTCTCTTCTTCTCCAGTACACAGACGTTTAGATCTAATTATTGTATTCTCAGTAACAGTTACTTCGGTGTTAAACGAGTGTGCACAATACTGATATTGATAAATCCAGGTATCTGTGCGGATGTTTAGCCTTTCCAATATTATTGATTCTGAGCTCACCACCTCTGGTTACCTTTCTAACAAACAATCCAGAAAATCAAAATTTTGTGCATCAAATTTAACAACTCTAGAAAGCCTAATAATTTTTGATATCGGAAAAGCAATATGTGGGCGAAATTTATGTGAATTGTGCAATGCATTTGTACAACACATTTAGAGCAATCTTATCACACACGTGCTTATCACAGGCATATTAAAATGTATATGTCTTGTTGAGGAAAACAGGTGACCTGTCTCTTGATGAATTCAAAGGAATGCTCAGAATTTGACGGGAAACACCCTCCTCAAATACCAACAACTTGAGACGTAGACACAGTTTTAGTGCCATCCGGATATCACTTCGGATAGATGGATGTCAAAGTAGTAAATTACAAGTAACAACTCAAGACACTTTGATGACAACATTTGTGAATAATAACGAGCACTGAGACTTACTATTGTTTCATCACCCTCCATTTGGTTCGGGATCAGTCTAATGTTGAATCCGGAAGACGTCACCACTCCGCATTCCACCATATTTTCACATGACTTCAGAATTTATGTAATCAATGCATTTAAAAAAATTGTGGGTTAGAAAATTAGTAAAATGCACAACTGTATAAAACGAAACAGCCAGTTTGCGGATTTTCGGAAACCCATGAAGTCTACACTGACTATAACGTTTCGGTGTCAGTGAAATCCCAACTGATAAAGCGATTTTCTCATTCGTTCACTGTGACATTTTGCATGTTTCAGCTTCAACCTATTCAATTATGTAACTTGTAATTTTTAATTCCTCACCACTTTCAGATATCTTCGTCGCTGAACTCGTGGTTTCCATCAGAGATTGGAATGAAACAATTTCGAGTAGGAGTATCCGATCTTCATTGGATATTTTGGACAAATACTGTAAAGACGTAAGTCATGCTTCTGCCTACTGAAATTTGACACTCACATCATCTTTGCGACAATGCATACTGAAGCCCAAATCACACGTAGAATTGATGTCTACAAGTCAAGCACCTTGGCGGTGGAGTTCTTGGAGACTTCCACTTTTGTTAGGAGACTGTCACACAAGTGATGAATATCACCATGTGCTTCACAAAGTGGAGAAAACCTGACTTCTACGGATCCTATAGAAGTCTGATCCCGTAATGCTTACCAAAAATCGGTAAACGACAGGTACTTTTTCAGTTGTTGGGCATCAGAAATTATTGCGAACAGTTTCCTGAGATTACACAGCCCTCACGCCATACACTTGTCGATTGTCTGCTTCTAGCAACACGGTCTGCAAGTGGTTGACTCCATAAATTTGTGTTCTCAATGTCGCCTCCCTCTGATCTGTTTTCTTCTCCCCTGCTGTTTTCAGGTGAAGGAAGTGGTGAGGAGTCGAGATCGAAGACTGCTTTCAGTTCATCTGTCCTGTGATATTATAATACCGAAAAGTTCGAAAATCAGCAAATCCTCTAATGTCACTGTTCAGCTTGTAATGTCATCTCGTGAGATGCAGAATGCATTCTCTTCAACTGACTGGTTCCGAAGCTTCAAAAACTCGCTGGAATCTGAAGGTGTTACTGACAAAGACAAATGGCTATCACGTGAGTCATTTATATCTCATTCTTTTTGATTCATCAAAATGTGATATGCACAGGAATAGGTGACACTTGCATGTTACACATTGATTTGCGGCTGTTGGCCATCAGTGACATGATATGCATCTACGCTCATACAGAAACACTGAACGACGCAGATGTGCTGACAGTGTGAATCATTGCATAACGTGATATTCCTCCTCTGCTTCGCACTAAAACATCAATAAACAACCACGCCTCTTCCGCTTCTACACAACATCAAACTTTCATTATCATATACAATACCTATATCAATCGTCTTTTGTTTCCTTTCAGGTATCCTCTCAGTAGAAGGTGAGTTTCCTCCTCTAATTTATGCCACAATATATAACATATTTCCAATCACTCCAGAACTCACGTCTGCTTCTATATCGAACTGAGCTCTCATTCAGTTCACATCTGTTTGTCGACATTACATTCCTGTGCAGACGGGCCTTCTTGGTTTATGTTCCAATCAACCATATAGTTGGAAGTAACTGGAATCGCACAATGTCAATCCATTGGCTTGCTTATTTCACAGCCAATCGCAAACAAACCGACACTGATTGACAAACATTTTTCTAATGAGTGCTAACAGTCGCAATGAGGTAATGCTGATTCAGAGGATTTCAACAATAATCAGATCCAAGTTCTGAATGTCACTTTGTTCCATGCAATCTGGCAAGGTTTTGATTTGCATTTGAACATCTCAATTTTCAGTTGTCCGAATGCATGATTGACTGATGAGGTGTGTAATATAGCCATCCAGCAGCACATCTCCATTTCACATTGTCTGCTGCAGTCATTCAAAGCAAATAGAATGGTTTCCCACAAACTCTCACTTCCTCCTGACATCACCTCTTCCGTATCTTTTTCAGACGCCTCACGGGTCGTTCACCGATCCGGAATTCATTCGAATGCTTCTCCGGTGATGTCATTCAGTGTTTCACTCAATATAAATTCAACCCACCGTCAGTTCCTTGTGAACACTTGTTGAGTAATATTTTGATTGGCTAACACAGCCTTCTAACTATCTGACCATCAATATTTAGAGAAGCCAGATATTTGTGGAAGCATAAAGCATTTTGGAAATGCTATCAGGGATGTACGCGCCGAGTTCAAACCACATAGAAACATTGACTCAGTAATTGATTTAAAACTTGGGTTCTATTCCTCATGCCACCTAACGTAGATCTCTGTACTTATTCCAAAGTCATCAGCTCCCACCTTGTTTACAAATTCGTGGCTGGCTTAGACATGGACGTGAATGCGTCTGATTCTCACACTGACAGAATCACTTCTCCATCAACTCATGTACTAATTCACTAGTTTAAGAATTCATTTAATTCAATTAATAATTCTGCAATTCTCATTCGTCTACACCGTTTCCAATATTTTCATATTTCAGAAGGACGTCCGTTAAACACAAGTAAGATAAGCAGGATTATTCTCTTTCGGTAAAATGCTTCAGTCTTTTCCGACATACTCTTGTTTATTTCAGGTTTATTTCAAGGTAACACAACGTGTATTTTTCAATTTACTAGATCACAGCTATTTGGGATCTATCTCTGATTTGAGCAGACTACGCGTGGTGCACAGATCACAATGCAGTGTAACCGACGCATAGCAACAGAGAACATTAATAGTAGGGATTACCACTGGCTAATCAGTGCCGAAGTCTACAAATTTGCGTTAATACAGTTTACAACATTACTTGTGAGAGAATTTCTCCAGTCCTCTGCCAAACAGTACACGGTTGATCAATGACGGCATTCTTGTCTCCCGTCAATGGAGACCAGTCCAAATGAACAAACAATTCAGTGCACGCCAGCATTGGCAGTGTTTCTCATCGGCGTTCTAAGTGTATCCAATCACTTATGATGTTAGGAAAAGTAACAAATGAAATAATTGACAGCACAAATCGTTCCATTTACTGACTTTTATCATCTTTGTCGACTTGTGGATTACATAACTAACCATGAATATCCATTTTAGATTACGTCCTCAAATACGGAGCAAATAGACTGCTACAGACAGTGAATCTATGTTCTAAGGTAAAATTTCATTCTGTTTATCTAGTTTGATAAGATTCATGTGATCAGATTTGCTTGAGTGTTGACTAATCAGGGAGATGCAATAGCATGTAATCTTGTTGTCATGCATCCCACAGGCTGTTGAATTTATCTGAGAGAAACGCTGATTAGTGTTTGCGCCTTCAGTGCCATTCGACTGATCAGCTCATGATGACACTTGGTGAGACCTTGTAGAGGATACGAAATGTAGACAAATGCAAGTCAGTTCTGTGTGTTGGAATGTTGGGCGTAGTAATCGGATGCAGATATTCTGGTGGAACGAATAAAATAATTCTGCACATTTCTGAGTATCAGTGTTGAAGCAGTCATTCGCTCGAACCGGAGAGTGCATAATTGAGTTGAGGTTAAGTACTAGGACCTTTTTCTCCAATGACATTTCACCTTTGACTTCGATTGACTTTATAATTCTTCAGATATTGCCTAAGAGACTGACAACAGTTGCACTGCTAATGCTTTAGAGGTTCATATAACCATATGAAATTTGATGTGGTGCTCTATGCAGATCGATGTGTATGTCTAACATTTGAAGCAACTCGTCAGCTGAGCGTCACAAACCATGCAAAATTGACATTAGTTGGCTATCAGAATGTTCTCTCTGTTTGCTTTTTTCAGCTGAAGACACGGGCATCAAGGCTGTATTCTCGACTGGGAGAGACTGTCGACAACTGTTCACTCAATAGTACTGAAAAGCTCTTGACACTGTCACTATCAAAACCAAAGCAATTCGAACTGGAATACTATACATCGCGTGATGTTGCCGTTCGCCGCTTTTACTTTGTTGTTAATGACATCTCTCGGAACCCTGAAGGTAATCGACTTAAATTACTTTCATTTATAAATGTGTATATATCTTTTTTCCCTTCCGTATCACATGCGCTATCGATTATATTCCACGACATTACTAAATAATCTTTGTTCGCGCAGTTAAGCAGTAAGAATGGGATTTTCACTTCGGTTTAATCGTATGTAAGTCCTCCACATGTGAACATGCAACCTAATTTTCAGGCAGCTAAGAGCTTAATTAATGCTGTAGTATGCAATGCCTTCAGAGGAAACACAAGGAAACTTTATAAAATGCATAAGCAACAAAAGACTGTCATAATTGTTTCGTAGAAATCGATGAAATAAAAAAACATTGAATGAAAATAACAAGAAAACATCAATCATCAATAATCAGGCGTGACGACGTCGACAGCCATTTCAAACAATCTACATCATTCACAAAATTTCCAAATACTCATCGTTCACTATCTATATAGATGTCACTGCTGACCGCTCATGGTCAAACAGAAGCGCCTAATGTCACCTAAAATAACTTGGCTTCACTTGATTGTCTTGACTACCATTGCGATCCCTTAGATTTCGGTGAACACCCAATCAGCCAGCAATGCAGCCACCATCAGGCATCAAACACAACACACACTCAACTGAATATGCCACAAAATAACTAACACAAGCATCGAAAAACAAACCAGCACTAAGACAGAAACACACCTTATTAATGACTAAATATGCAATGCCCTCAAAGGAAACAAAAGAAAACTTGATTTCCTTCGCAGAAATTGCAATCGCTTGGCTTCCAGCCAACATTCAGCAAACCAGAGGACTTGCATCATGTATCAAACACCAGCCAATCAAATCCGTTAACCGCAAACCAAATAATATCCAAGCATAACAAAATCAAAAGGAAAAGAATCACGCGGAAAAACACAGGCACGCAAAAATATAATAAGAAACAAAAACACAAAAAAAACCCAACGCATAAATAAATGAAATAAAAATTAAAACTAACAAATACAACGCTAGATTCCTAACCCGTTATATGCACATTCCATATATTCCTTAACTACACAGAAACACAACCAGTCACAGATCAGTCAGAAAGCACTCAGTCGGAAGGCACTGATCAACAGTTGACTACCACGCCTCAATTCGAGTCAACAACACCAGGTCAGTCAATTCCCTTTGATTATGATGATCACTTTTATTTTTATTCACCGAACACCCGCCCTCTGCAATCACATCAGTCCAATCCACCACCAGTGGAGTCCCGTCCAGTTCCCTTCCGTTCCGTTCTGTCACCTTCCATCACATCACATGCCATTCCATGTGACGCCATTCCATGCATTGCTTCCCCTTGCATTCCTTTGCATTGCATTCCATTTCATTCCATTGCATTGCCTACCCGTAAACATCCACCCCGCCAGACAACCACACAGTCGGCCACGTTCACACCCAGAATTATCCATCAACAACCACTCACCCACTCAACAAAATACCACTACCACACACCACAAAACACCTACAAATCACAAAGAACTAACCAACAGTCACACAGATCCACCCACCAACACACACACACACAGCCACACAATCACACAGACAAGCAAACAAACAATCGAACGCAAGTCGAATTTCAATACATAAAACCACTGCTCCATCGCTCACTTACTCACTCACTCACTCACTCACCCACCCACTCACTCTCTCTATCTCTCTTTATCTCTGTCTCACTCTGTCTCTCTTCCCGTCTCTCCCTCCACAGAAACACAACCAGTCACAGATCAGTCAGAAAGCACTCAGTCGGAAGGCACTGATCAACAGTTGACTACCACGCCTCAATTCGAGTCAACAACACCAGGTCAGTCAATTCCCTTTGATTATGATGATCACTTTTATTTTTATTCACCGAACACCCGCCCTCTGCAATCACATCAGTCCAATCCACCACCAGTGGAGTCCCGTCCAGTTCCCTTCCCTTCCGTTCTGTCACCTTCCATCACATCACATGCCATTCCATGTGACGCCATTCCATGCATTGCTTCCCCTTGCATTCCTTTGCATTGCATTCCATTTCATTCCATTGCATTGCCTACCCGTAAACATCCACCCCGCCAGACAACCACACAGTCGGCCACGTTCACACCCAGAATTATCCATCAACAACCACTCACCCACTCAACAAAATACCACTACCACACACCACAAAACACCTACAAATCACAAAGAACTAACCAACAGTCACACAGATCCACCCACCAACACACACACACACACACACACAGCCACACAATCACACAGACAAGCAAACAAACAATCGAACGCAAGTCGAATTTCAATACATAAAACCACTGCTCCATCGCTCACTTACTCACTCACTCACTCACTCTCTCTATCTCTCTTTATCTCTGTCTCACTCTGTCTCTCTTCCCGTCTCTCCCTCCACAGAAACACAACCAGTCACAGATCAGTCAGAAAGCACTCAGTCGGAAGGCACTGATCAACAGTTGACTACCACGCCTCAATTCGAGTCAACAACACCAGGTCAGTCAATTCCCTTTGATTATGATGATCACTTTTATTTTTATTCACCGAACACCCGCCCTCTGCAATCACATCAGTCCAATCCACCACCAGTGGAGTCCCGTCCAGTTCCCTTCCGTTCCGTTCTGTCACCTTCCATCACATCACATGCCATTCCATGTGACGCCATTCCATGCATTGCTTCCCCTTGCATTCCTTTGCATTGCATTCCATTTCATTCCATTGCATTGCCTACCCGTAAACATCCACCCCGCCAGACAACCACACTGTCGGCCACGTTCACACCCAGAATTATCCATCAACAACCACTCACCCACTCAACAAAATACCACTACCACACACCACAAAACACCTACAAATCACAAAGAACTAACCAACAGTCACACAGATCCACCCACCAACACACACACACACAGCCACACAATCACACAGACAAGCAAACAAACAATCGAACGCAAGTCGAATTTCAATACATAAAACCACTGCTCCATCGCTCACTTACTCACTCACTCACTCACTCTCTCTATCTCTCTTTATCTCTGTCTCACTCTGTCTCTCTTCCCGTCTCTCCCTCCACAGAAACACAACCAGTCACAGATCAGTCAGAAAGCACTCAGTCGGAAGGCACTGATCAACAGTTGACTACCACGCCTCAATTCGAGTCAACAACACCAGGTCAGTCAATTCCCTTTGATTATGATGATCACTTTTATTTTTATTCACCGAACACCCGCCCTCTGCAATCACATCAGTCCAATCCACCACCAGTGGAGTCCCGTCCAGTTCCCTTCCGTTCCGTTCTGTCACCTTCCATCACATCACATGCCATTCCATGTGACGCCATTCCATGCATTGCTTCCCCTTGCATTCCTTTGCATTGCATTCCATTTCATTCCATTGCATTGCCTACCCGTAAACATCCACCCCGCCAGACAACCACACTGTCGGCCACGTTCACACCCAGAATTATCCATCAACAACCACTCACCCACTCAACAAAATACCACTACCACACACCACAAAACACCTACAAATCACAAAGAACTAACCAACAGTCACACAGATCCACCCACCAACACACACACACACACAGCCACACAATCACACAGACAAGCAAACAAACAATCGAACGCAAGTCGAATTTCAATACATAAAACCACTGCTCCATCGCTCACTTACTCACTCACTCACTCACTCACCCACTCACTCACTCTCTCTATCTCTCTTTATCTCTGTCTCACTCTGTCTCTCTTCCCGTCTCTCCCTCCACAGAAACACAACCAGTCACAGATCAGTCAGAAAGCACTCAGTCGGAAGGCACTGATCAACAGTTGACTACCACGCCTCAATTCGAGTCAACAACACCAGGTCAGTCAATTCCCTTTGATTATGATGATCACTTTTATTTTTATTCACCGAACACCCGCCCTCTGCAATCACATCAGTCCAATCCACCACCAGTGGAGTCCCGTCCAGTTCCCTTCCCTTCCGTTCTGTCAACTTCCATCACATCACATGCCATTCCATGTGACGCCATTCCATGCATTGCTTCCCCTTGCATTCCTTTGCATTGCATTCCATTTCATTCCATTGCATTGCCTACCCGTAAACATCCACCCCGCCAGACAACCACACAGTCGGCCACGTTCACACCCAGAATTATCCATCAACAACCACTCACCCACTCAACAAAATACCACTACCACACACCACAAAACACCTACAAATCACAAAGAACTAACCAACAGTCACACAGATCCACCCACCAACACACACACACACAGCCACACAATCACACAGACAAGCAAACAAACAATCGAACGCAAGTCGAATTTCAATACATAAAACCACTGCTCCATCGCTCACTTACTCACTCACTCACTCTCTCTATCTCTCTTTATCTCTGTCTCACTCTGTCTCTCTTCCCGTCTCTCCCTCCACAGAAACACAACCAGTCACAGATCAGTCAGAAAGCACTCAGTCGGAAGGCACTGATCAACAGTTGACTACCACGCCTCAATTCGAGTCAACAACACCAGGTCAGTCAATTCCCTTTGATTATGATGATCACTTTTATTTTTATTCACCGAACACCCGCCCTCTGCAATCACATCAGTCCAATCCACCACCAGTGGAGTCCCGTCCAGTTCCCTTCCGTTCCGTTCTGTCACCTTCCATCACATCACATGCCATTCCATGTGACGCCATTCCATGCATTGCTTCCCCTTGCATTCCTTTGCATTGCATTCCATTTCATTCCATTGCATTGCCTACCCGTAAACATCCACCCCGCCAGACAACCACACTGTCGGCCACGTTCACACCCAGAATTATCCATCAACAACCACTCACCCACTCAACAAAATACCACTACCACACACCACAAAACACCTACAAATCACAAAGAACTAACCAACAGTCACACAGATCCACCCACCAACACACACACACACACAGCCACACAATCACACAGACAAGCAAACA